GAGCAATTGCATCATGCATCACTTGCTTTATATATTCTTTTATTATTATTACTATTTTATTTTAATTATTAAACTGTTCTTATCTCAACCCACGAGTTTTCTCACTTTTACTCTTCCGATTCTCTCCCCCATCCCACTGGGAGTGGGGAGTGAGGGAGCGGCTATGTGGTGCTCAGCCGCCAGCTGAGGTTAAACCACAACACAGGCATAAGAAGCACAGCAGCTACCACCATCCCTTACTCGCCCTGTCTGAGATTCTGGATAAATTCTGAAAAGGGCTGGTGGAGGAATCAATGAAGATTCATGATGCGCATGGATGACACTATATAGTGTCTGGAAGAACCACAATTGCGGTAAAACAGGGATGCCCAACCACAGCTTACATATTATATGCAGCACATCTGGAAAATTTGTCTGTCCTGTGGACCACTGCTAGCCATTCCTTTCCCCACTAGCTTCAAGAGACAAAGACAGATTGCAGGTGATCCATTTTTTCGGTTGCAACCTATTTCCCATCTTTTCCAAAGCTCCTGAGCACCTTCACAGCATGTACTGCCCCTCAAGTCACATGCGCAGGGCAGGCTTCCCATGACACCAAGAAAAGTTCATAATCCACCCAGGAAGAGAAGTTATGCATCCCAACCATGGATGTGAGCAAAATTCTCCCCCCTCGAATCCCAGGTTAAAAATAGGAGTTATATTACTAAGAAACTGATTACATTCTATCTCAGAAGTCTACTTTATTCTGCAGACATGCAATGTTACATAATGAATTAAGTAAACTGAAAAAAGTTCAGTGATAAAAGTACAACTTACCAGACTTGGCAGCTCTCTCTCGTCCTGTTCTGTCACTAGATACAGCTCTTCTGTCCTGTTCTATTCTGGGAGCTGGACCCAGTATCTTTTTTACTAGTTTTTGTCCCTCCCGCCAGGAGGATGCACTTATTACATAGTTTCCACCTGCACAGTAAGTAATAAATAGAAGTCAAGCACTAGATGGATTTTTCAACATATCAAAAAAGTATTTATTGCAACCATTAATCGTTTCTATACCATTTAGTTCTGCATAAGTGGTATGGCTGCAGTTACACAAAATAGTCATAACAGTGATGTACCATGAAGGCACTCAACAGCTGAATCACACAACTATCAGTGTTTCATGCCTACGCATAACACAATGTAAAAATCCAACACATACTGTAGCACATTAAAGCCCTACAAAAACTGATTTAAAAAAAGAAAAAAAGGGTTATACAGGTCTAAAACCTATAAGCAAGTGTTACTGGTGGAGAAGGGAAATATTTGTAGAGGACCGAGAAGAAGCTGTTCATCTCCACTTAAATAAGGAAAATAAGAAAAAAAGATAAAAGGATCTAAAATGTTGTAATAATAAGAACAAAAATAAAGGTGGGAGATAAAAAACAATTCATCTGCATATTAAAAGAATATTAGCTGATATTCTAGTCTTCTGAGGAGGTTAAAAAGTACCAAGCAGTAGTTGTTCTACACCAATGCTAACTCACTGTCCTAGTTGGGATTTCTGTACCATGACTGAAAATAGTTAAGATATAACCCTATTAGTTGATACTTAATTCAAGAACAGACTACCTTGCAGGTGACAGAAACCCAACCAAAATGTTATTAGTATTATTTTATCATCTTACATATAATTAAGTGATAAAAACTGGGTATGGTGGCATCTTTACCGAATATTGGTTAGACTAAATGCTAGGTTTATTCAACTCACCTTTCATCCCACTAACTTCCAATATTATTAATCATTTTTTTTTTAAATAATGACCTTAAAGAGCTTTGGAGAAAAGCAGCATATAAAAAAGAAAAGTATTAATAATCTAATTCAGACCATTTAGCAGTATTTTATTGCTAGAAAAGTACCTAACTTGAATAGCCAATTTGCATTTGATTTCTAACCATTCAATTTCAGCTTCTACCTCTGACAGCACTGCCTAAACAAACCCAGGCACTGCAGCATGAACACAACACAGCCAAACAAAAAGGGATTGTACTCTGGGCCCAACAGGACTTTGAAGACCTGGTACCAAAGCAACTTCAAGCGAAATCCAGGACAGCAGACCAGGAGTGTTTTCGTAATCCCAGTCCTCAATACCCACCTCCTTTCTTTTCTTTTTATTATTTTAAACCAGAAGGAGGAAACCCATTCAGTCAGAAGTCTGTAGCCCACTATTCATTCATTTACTAACAGTACTCCGTGCTTGCATTGTAAATTATCCAAGTATTTTATAAATCTGTCACTTGAAACATGTCACTACAAGCCTCTTTGAAACAGACGTATCAACCAATGGGGTTCTCTTGCTGAACTCACTGTTCTCAATTACTTCTGCGTGTGTTTAAAAAGGCAGTGTAAAATCTCACATTCCATTTCAAGTCAGCTGTTTGAACTAAAACACACTAATGGAGCAGAACATGAGCTGGGGCTATTTATAGCCTTGGCTATGTTAAGCAGTTTCTTATTGCTATGACTGGAGGAGGACGGACTGTCAGGGATATGCTACTTAGATCTGGTTCTTATCTTCTAGGGATTTCAGGCCATCATTCTCCTCACATTTAATCCATTACGGAGAATAACCATTGCCATTAAAACTTGCAGCAATCTATGTGCTCCTCCCTCACTTGGAACTGTCACAAATATGTAAGTTAGTTTAGTATAGTTCCTTAATTATGAATTGATCAGCATAGGAAGGAGCAAATCCTTACTTATCACTTACTTTTAACTATTAGCATTCATTACCACATAATATTCACATGCAGCTTCATGATTTACAGCATGCCGAAGCGCATATTCACTCCATAAAAAACCCTTTGTAATAATTTTTTAAAGCAGCTTTTTTTCTTCAACAAAGTGTTTACCAATTATGGGTCACTGTACGTAAGGAGAAATATAAAACCTTAAAAAGTGCAAGAGATGCCTAACCTCGCATGTATTTAAAGAAAAAAAAAATTGCTCTGTAGTGTAATTGGAGTCATAACTACTTAATTTGTATGAAAATTAAAACCAAATACGAAGCAGATGTGGAAGTCTTCCTAATTCTTTTGCTACACGCAATATCAAAGATTAACATTACTGGAAAACTAAGAAGCACTGACAGAATTCCACATGTAGTTAATTTCATATATAAGGCACTGCTCTACAGTAAGGTGCTTGCATCATCTTCTCTAAATACTTTAATATTATTTAATAGACAGTGGACCTGTCAGACAACAGTGAAAATAAAATTCTTAATTGGTAAAAGAAATAAACATTCCTTTATAAATATCAAGATTTGTAAGACTTGTCAGGGAATATGTTTTTACATTCTTTCACTAACTGAAAAAGCCAGGAATGGGTCAAGACAGAACTGAAGGTGCAGAACAGCAACAACTTGACACAGGATGTAGAAGAACAACAGACAGAAGAGCCAGAAGGACATCTTGTTCTCTGCTTCCCCATTGAGAAATCATACAAGAGAACAGCTTTCACTGCAGCCCCTCCTCACGGAGCAGGGCAACTCGGCAAGTCGCGCTGGCACTGATTTTAATACCACCTCCATTCCTCCTCACAGCTTTATTCACTGAGCTGTAGGTCAGGCACTAACCAGCTTCAACACAAGCAAAACAGAAGCAGGATCCAGAACAGAGCTATTGCTACTTTTTGTCTGTGTTAGCCTGACAGATACGTAAAGATACAAAAAACCCCCCCCCCCCCAAGAAACACACACCCTTCAGCAGTTTCCATAAGGTGCACACAGCAAGTGGAAAGGCAGAAAATTAAAATAAACCAAAAAAAGCGTGCACAGCCAACCAACCAACAGCAAAAACATACACATCCCCAGTGCAGCATACAGTCTACAAACACATTACAACAGCATTGTTGCACATCTGAGAAGACTTTGAAAGCAATACACTTTAATTTTTCTTTATTTCTCGAGATAAAACTCATCTCTGAAGGACATGCGACAGTCTTCCCTCTACAGTAGAGCTAGTCACCTTGTTTGGACTCTGGACTCGACAACCGTGTCAGTTTTTGCACTTTCCGCACTGGTCTGGTTGCTTTTCTCTCTTTGTTTCTCTCACTAGGTTTTCCTTTCACTGTTGAATCCTCTAAAAACAAACAAAAGCTGTTAAGTGATATCCCACAGGAAAGAGCATAGAATAACAAGCTTGCTCCAACATTTACCTTGAAATAACGGAACTCAGAGAAACACAATAAAATTCACTGACTCTCCCACTTTATATACTGAGAACAATTACTGCCAGTCCAGCATTTTAAAATCCTCATAGCATGAAAATTTTGAATCAAGTGCTGTTTACCTACGCACTGGAACACAGCGAAGCCACAGCAACACCGTAATAGATCTTTACAAAGTTCATTTTCAATTTTAAAAGAAATGTTGACAGTTTGACAGGAGCAGTTGTTGGTTCTCTTCTACTATAGATATTAGATTTTACAGTATTAATGTTCCACAAGAACACGTAGATCCTTCACTCCTGAAACACGCGGGCTGCTGCTTCCACATTAACACATGACAGCACATTCACTCGTTGCCTCCATGCTGGAGCATGTAAGACAGGATACCCATGCACTCTACTTTCTGCAAAACTTGTCGCAGAATTCACCCAGTGATGCGGAACTACTCTGTATCACTTAAGCCCTCATTTACAACACAATTAGGTTTCAGGCTTTAGAGATGCCAGGAACACTTACCAAAGATAAAAGTCATATTTTATCATGTTTTCACATTAGGGCAAAGAACAAAAAGGAAACCTGAGATGTGGCTCAATCACCACCCCACTAAGTGGGCTTCCCAGCTGCCTAAGGTACAAAGCAGAGACGAGCATTGCTCAAGAAGGACAGGCAAGATGTATACTCAGTCTCAGCAGTCTACACTGGACATTTTCAAAGATTTGTTAAAGCACTTTAGTTTACATGCCTTGAAGATGCTCTTTTCTTAATCCCAAAAGTGAACTGTAGATAAGGAACTCCATGGCCACTATTACCACTGTTCTCCTGTTCCTCTTCTATGAAGAATGTGATCAGACAACCTAAAACAACCAGGATGCAACCCCCTCCATGGATAGATCTGAAGCTTTTTTTAGATGCCAATACTAACTTTTACAGCCCCTAATTTCAGCTGAATCCACTCTCTGATGGATGCCCACATGAAATATGAGAGACAGAACAACAGGTCATATTAAAGGATGTGGGAATGGAATTTTAAGAGTCTTTCTCCCCCTTAATATCCTTTCCTCACAAATTTTCCAGTTGTCTTTGAAGCTGACAACAAGTGCAGGGAAGACAGAATCAATGCATCAAGTACCAGAGGCCTCAGTGACTGCTTTTGCAGAAATCTAGCTTGCGTCCTCACCTCTTTCAGTGGCAAACAGTTCCTTCCCAATACCAGGAAACCACAGGCTGCTTCCCACTCGCTCTATTCATATTACAGCAATTTTGTTCTGCTAAGGCCAATCCCCAACATCTTTAAGACACAATTACTGGAAGCCTGGGGTCCATACAATATCCTTTAGCCTAACTGCTAAACCAAGATAAAGACATTCTGTATGGTCTACGCTTACATGGAAAAACCTCATTGCAGTAAAGAACAATGCTTCTGTAAATATTAGAGATCTTATAGCTTATTTTAGCACTAGAGAGCATGGAACAGTTTTGATACAACTGACTGTACACACCCAATACTCCACATGCTGTAACTCTAATACAGAATCAACACATGGATAGATAATCTTGACAACCTAAAAATACATTTACAGTCTATATTATGTGCAGCATCAGCATTTGATTACTTGGAATCAGCTATTCAATATAATCTTTTCAGGTCAGAAAGGAGACACGTTCCACGACAGCTGTTCTATGCAGGGCATCAGGACAGGCATATGGCTGAACACACACACAGCTCCTTCCTTTTGTAGGCAGAAGTCCACTGAACACATGATCCAAATGCCTTTTTAATTGGACCTCTTCAACGAAACTTTTCAAAAATTTGGATTTCTAGAGAGACCTCATGAATCATTCATATTATGCTTGTCAAAACTAAAAAAAAAAATGCTAGTGTAGATGAAAAGTCTTTAGAGATTTGGCATTAAATGCATGGACTGATGCTGAAGAGTATTTGCAAAACAATTTTATTGAAAAGAAGCTGCTGTCCTTTCTGAACTTTTTTTTGAGTGATTCCAGAAAAATTCCTCAGTGCCTTGTCAAGCTGTACAAGTAAAAGAATCTAGCTATTTCCATCCCAGCCACTACACTGTCAACATACAAAGAGGTTTACAATCTCATCACATTTCCTCCAGTCTTAAATAAGTTTTGACTAATGAGAAAAATTATTTTTAATATGTAATAAACAAACTCTTAAGCTGCAAAAGTAGAGGTTCTCAGGGGATTTTATTTTCCATTCCCTTCTGTTTTATTCATCCGATCTCTTCCCCCTCCCCCAACTCAAGTCAGTCAAAAGCAATTCAACCTTACAGCGTTCCACTGTAACCAGCCTAGCAAATCAAAAAGCACACCTGGGCATCCTACCCTGTATCACCCAGAGAAAAGAGCTGCCAACGGTACTGCAGTTTTTCAGAGTGAAAAATTAATAAAGATTGGGTCTTGGAGCAGTAAATTTGAAAACATAAAGCGTGTATTACAGTTTTGGTCTTTTAGCAGCGTAACTGTCAAGCAAATATACAGCATTTTTTTATCATCTTTGCTCATATTTTTAAGCATCAGAATATTGTGTTGCTAAATGAGTTCGTCACCCAAAATAGACCTTTTTTCCTGTGCTGCCACTTTGCAACAATGATACTTAATGTTTTTCAAAAGACCATTAAGCAAAGAGGAATGACTAGCAGTTTTCTAAGCTTTTAGCATTCAACATTCTCTCCTACACCTTCATGTGGAATAAACCCCAAAGGTAACGTTCTGTTAATTTACCACTGCAGAGTTACATAGTCTCCCCTCCCATATCCTATCCAAGTCTTACAATAATGATGGGAAAATACTTGTAGAGCAAATAAAATCTAGATTTAAAAGGTTTCTTAAACCTTCTTCTGGTCTACCTGTTCTTCCACTCCTCAGGGAATCCAGGGAAGACCTCTAAAAAAGTCCTTGTGTACAAAACTCTGGAACATAAATTTCTCCAAGAACTTCACGACTTGGATTATTCTGATATAAAGCAATAAAGTTCTACAAGTTCAGAGATATTAAACCAACCTAATGCTATATAATCTCACCTCCACCACACACACATACCCCTTTTACTGCAGGCTACCTACTGCATTTTAAATAAGTATTCCCAGAGACTTTCCACAGCAGATGCCCCCCATCTCCCCTTTAGCTACCTACATGTTCCAACTAAACCACTAACAATTCCCAAAGCAGCTTCAGGACTGACAATTTGTTAACACCATACTGAAGGAAGTAGAATTCAGGCTTCAACATACGGTGTACAAATCACTTTAACAGTGTTAAAGATGGCAAAAAAATACCAAAATTGTTCCCATGACATAACTACAGGTTTCATCAAAACCAAGAAGTGGTTTGGTTTTGTCCTTTTAAACAGGAAATTGCATTCATTCACGCAAACATGTATGAAGAAGCTACAAAATTAAACAAAAATTGTTCTAATGAAGACTTCTTTTTTTAATTCCTGTTTCAAAGAAAAGTCATAATTTGATTCTTTTCAGTATTGATTTTCTATTAAAAGTATTTTAATGACAGAATGGGAAGAAGGATTTTTTCTTCCATTTTAGTGTTCGGCAAGTTACTCCTCCTGTGGAGAGAAGTCCAATATATTCAACACTCATTGCTTCAATTTTTTGTTTCCATGACTGTGTAGACTTGTATAAAATAAATTTCTCTGCCTCTAAGAGAAGGTTGTGTGGCTTAATCCATTCAGTTTGTGTCTCACCTGTTAACTGGAGTGCTATATCTCTATACAGCTCCCGACTAATGTGAAATTCTTGCTCATGCCAGATCTTTCCATCTGGAGTGCGAATCTTTGTTTCAGCAGGATTGAAACCTGAAAGTAAACAATTTAAGAGTTTAAAATAACTGTATAAAATGTAAATAAAGCTTTTTCAGGGTGGAAGGGGTGGGAAACTGCCAAGTAAGAAAGGAACTACTTGAATTTCTAATGCTAAATTAGAAGAAAGCAATATACCAGTCTGCCGCTTGCTCACAGTTGAAAAACAGTGGACTGGATGAAGAAAAGATTATTAAAGATGCGAAATGCTTTCTCAATCAATACAATGTTACTAACCTCTGGAACCATAAAAAAATATCAAAATAAACCCAAGCATTAATACAGTGAGCTTCTTTTTCATAGTAATTTGTAAGAAGAGACAGGAAGAATTTCAAAAGAATCCACAATTTTGTAAATTGGCAAGAATTTATTTTCTTTCTTGTCTATATCTGTGATCAAACCATGCTACCCACTGCCGTATTGCCAAACACAGCTATGAGTCATGTTCATGCTTTGACGTGTTGCTCAGTGAACTGAACTCTGCTCCTTCACCAGGTATAACCAACAGGGAGGGATTCTGCACCTCCGTACCTCTGTATGATGGAGCAGCAGGTGCAGCTGCCACTTTCCTGACTTTGGGAGTCACCACATTCTCCGCATTTGTGATCACGACAGGTTGCTCAGCATATCCCGAGTGCTGTCCTCTGCCACCTAGCTCTTCAGAATGCTCCCACTGCTTTCGAATCCGCTCCTTCAGTTTCTCCAACTTAGCATCATGCTGCCGCCGTTTCAAGATTTCCAGCCTATGAGCACTAGAAGTGCTTGTGGCAGAAGGGGAAGACACTTTCAGTTCACTGTCCTGGGATGCGTTACTCTGAGAAGTTTTAGTGCTACTCTCATCTCCTCTGGAGCCACTAGTTTTTTCCTCTTCCAATCTTGGAGGTGTTGCAACTTTAAGAAATGCCTCATTATTCTGCAAGGCATCAATTGCTGGTCGGTCATTCAAATACCTAACAATGGTCTCATCTGCAGCAGAAGAACATGGGCTTTCAAAATCTCTGCTGTGTAGATCCTGTTCATCTCCGTCATGTATCATACGGCCTGTTATTTCAGTCTTCCCTTCTGCTTCACTGAGGTCCAAACTAGAGAGCAGTTGCTTGGTCTCAAGTTGGCTAGAACTGTGATAAGCCAGAGAACTATATGTATCCCTGATGTAATAGAAGGAAAAAGAAAGTCACCATCAGAAACACAACTGTAGGACCTTCCAACCCAGCAATCAGCACGTTCATTAACTAAAGAATGACTTCCCATACCTTGTCTCCACTTTAAAGGCAAGTTCTTTTAAAGTTTGATCACCATATATTTAACAGTGCAAGTCTGACGAAACTGAAAGAGGTTTCTGTTCAAAATTTAATTTTCTGCACTCTCTAGCTGAACAGGACTATATATAAAGATGAGGAGCTGAAATTAGGGCATGTAGAAAAATAAGCAAGCAGTAATGAATGTCACCCTTCAATTTAAAAAATAAAGCTTTAAATAAAAAACAAGTGTAAAACTTAAATGAGAAGCATCATTAGGATATGTTCTCTAAAACAAAGCAATGCACATATGCACAGTTCCTAGAGAGCATATTCATTAGCTGAGAAAACAAATAAATTGTACCAAAAACCCCTGCCCTGTATTTGAGCATTGAAAAGGCAAGCCCCTATCAAGAACTTCAGAGTAAACTGGCTATATTGCAACAAGTGTAAAGCTTACTGAGAGATCAGGAATTCAACAAACTAAGGATCTCTCAGCATTTTTTTCACAGAAAAAACATACTCCACATTTGAAGAGACTCATGGTACATATGTTGTTAGGACAAAAAGTATTTAATATTTTTACCGATGAGGGGCTAAAGATGTGAAAATCTGGCACCTAAGCTAGCTGGCTTGCTTCTTCAACACGCGTGTTTACAGAATTCATTTAAGCCAGGTGTCCTGGTTTTGGCTGGGATAGAGTTAATTTTCCTCCTACTAGCTGGCATAGTGCTGTGTTTTGGATTTAGCATGAGAATATGTGATAACACACTGATGTTTTAGTTGTTGCTAAGCGGTGCTTATACTAGGTCAAGGACTTTTCAGCTTCTCATACTGCCCTGCCAGCGGGGAGGCTGGAGGTGCAAAAGAAGCTGGGAGGGGGCACAGCCAGGACAGCTGACCCAAACTGGCCAAAGGGATATTCCATACCATGTGACGTCATGCTCAGTACATAAACTGGGGGGAGCTGGCCGGGGACCAACGATTGCTGCTTGAGGATGGGCTGGGCGTCAGTCAGCAGGTGGTCAGCGGTTGCATCGCTTTGTTTTCCTGGGTTTTGTTTCTCTTTTTGTTGTTTTCCTTTTCATTACAATTTATTATTATTAATATAATATTTCAATCATTAAACTGTTCTTATCTCAACTCACGAGTTTTCTTACTTTTGCCCGTCCGATTCTCTCCCCCATCCCATCGGGGGGAGTAAGCGAGCGGTTGTGTGGTGCTCAGTTGCCAAGAGGGGTTAAACCACGACACCAGGTCATAACACCGTACTTGTGGAATTGTCTACCTCTCTTTCTCTAGTAGCACACTTCTGTCATGCAGTGTAGTAATCATTACCAATCAACATAAAAGTTGAGTGGTTTAATTGCACAGAATTTCACCAGAAGTATATTTATACATACACGCGCACATTGATTGTTCTATCCATTATTCTGTTTTTTGTTTTCCTATGCACACTTTAAGCATAGGCTACAGGCTGTTCTCAGAGAAGGAGTAACGTGTTAATGTAGCAGCTCTGATGTTAATCCCCGAATTAATCCCCCCCAATGCCACAGTCTTCTTACTGTAAGAAAGCTATTATTTTCAATTTAATATAATGGCATGAGTCTAGCCGCTCTCGTTTTCCTCTTTTCCCTGAAGTCTGTTAAATTTACTACACGTTTTTAAAACGAATAACTGATGTATGTTATTCCAGATAGGGTAGACACAGAGCTATTCAATTAACAAAACGGACCCAAGATTACACAACTGATCCACATCAGCCTCCCATGCCACAAAGAACCACCACCTCACAGTTGACATGAGAAGTGGAAAAGGAAACCAAAACTTAGATGTTAGGATAACAATTATTAATAGAGATATAGTGGAATTAAAAAAAATACCACTGTCCCAGCTCCACTCTATAATCAGTCAACAGCAATTTGACTTCACTGGGAGAACATTTAGAAAAAAATGCTAAGTATGTGTTAGAATCCAGTGAAAAACTATTACCAACCCAACCAAGCTATTCATCAGGGATAACGCCTGTGCAAAGAACACACACTGCTTATAAAACACAAGGAATCGAACAAGGTATGGTAAAGGTCTTCTAGGCTCTGATATTACAGTAAGTTATAACTAGTTTATTTCTGCTGCAGGTTCTCTTTCTTTTTGAAAGCTTTTGAGGCATCTTATATTCACTACAGTACTTCACATAGGCTAGGAAAAACAGGCTTTCCGTATTTTCCTTCATTCCTCACACCCCACCATGTTCTATGGCCTGCAATATTATGCGCCACTTTTTCTCATTGATACAGCTGTTCTTATTTGGGTTTCTCACACACACAAAAACTTAATGCATCTTTAGTACTAGATGTTCTTGCTCTACACTGTCTTATGGTAATACATTTGGAAACATGTGCTGAAGAACTAATGAAACACAGTTGGAAAGGCATGAGGAAATAGTCTTTTTGATCCTTATTACTGAAACTAAATACCTATCAAACCTATCAGGCCACTGAGGCCACAGCCACATCAACTTGATCATATGGCCTCATTTCAACACATTTGACTTTAAACTTATATTCACTGAACAAGAAATAAATTTGTAACATTTTTTAATAAGGAAGACACTTCCATCCAACACCACATGCTGCTCATGTGGGTGGGTGAGGGGAGGAAGCAAATCAATTTTTGAGTTGTCAAAAACATCACTATGAGCTTAATTCTGACCTTAGCATATTTTTCTTTAATAGTCAACTGTCCCAGCACTAACCTGTATGAAGCCAATGGTTCACGAAATTCCACACAATTGCTTTTTTTCACATTGCTTTCAAGAGTGGTCGCTCGAAGAGGGCTGCGTGAGGACTTCTCCTTGCTTGATTTGTTTTGACTGGAGGACCGGGAAGCTGAAGCAGAAACCAAAGAATCCTCTATGTACCTATCTCTCCAGAAAGAGAAAGCTCTTGGGACTGAATGATTAAGAACAGTTTTTCTTGGGTTCGAGCAGCACTCCAAAAGAGCATTTAAAGTACTCCCTCTCTTTTTCAACAAGCTGATTTCAACAACTAGGAGCAAGGTGGTAAGTGCTTGAAACAATGATCATATTTAAAGAGAGAGATAATAATGCTTAAACATTAATTATAAGTAATTAAATGTGTGAAAGTTGATTGTGTTGCCACTAGAGGTCGATCTGCCTGTTCTTCTCCAGTGCCACACTACCAGAATGCTCTAAATAGTTCATATTTAAAATGAGAGCTTATTTCTTATAAGCAAACACTCTCCTTAAATGAAATAAAGGAAGGATCAGATTTAGCATTCTGTCAGGGTGTAACAGTTGACAAACATTAAAAAATATAAAAAGCTAGTCCAGCGTAACCATAGGCATATACAATTGTTAGCCAAAACCCCCACAAAAACACCGTATCAGAATGGGATAAGCAGTGCTCACGCACAGCGTGGGGAAAGTCCTGTCACTCCCTCTAGCCAGGTGACTATGATAGCACACTTTCTTTCCTAAGCTAAGGGAAGAAAACATTAGGTTCTCATGGGCAATTAGAGTTTCATGAATAAAGATCATTAGCAGGAGACAACTTGGGGGCAGGGAGGTGAAATCAAGTTTTCCCAGAATGCAGTGGCTTTACCCTGCCTTACATGCTATGTCCTCAACAATACATACCCTTTCTACTTATTTTCCTGCTAGCACTAGCAGAGGGCTTCTTGGCATCCATGACAGAATCGAATACGGCCGTGCTGGTGGGAGCTATTTCCAATTTGTTCTCTATATGACGTAGCTAGAATTTGAAGATAATGCAAATTAGAATATTGTTTTCAATTTTTAAGCTACGGGGTTTTTCCCCTAACGCGACAAATTTTTCCTCATTTTCATAAAGAATAAAACTGCAGGCAAAAGCAACTTCACAAGGCTCATGTTGCAAAACTGTATAGCCTTACAGCCAGAAACTACGTAAGATTATTAAGATTTGCTTAAAAAGATTATCTAAATTACGTTTTGTTGCACAGTTTTGTTTCCATAAGTAGGCTGTTGTGAAGAAATTAATAATAAGATGCCATTCAGAGTCTTAATGCTTGGCCTGAATGAAATATTAATTCCACTTGGAATAAACTCTATAATACTCTTTTCAAAACAGAGCACGATACAAGATTCCACATGTAAAACCCCACACTGATGCTCAGCTATTAAAAGAGAGAGAGACGAGGCTATGGGAAAGAGTTGAATTTCCCGAAAACCCAAGCTGTTTGGCTTCACTGAAGCCAGGATTTAGAAACTAGTGTGATATCTTAAGCACCTAAGTTAAGTTCCCACAGGAAGACAGCAATTCCAATGCTCAAAGATGGAAAATTATGAAATACACTGGTGTTGCCCCAGTTTCTGACAGGTTTGGGTAAGCAGGGGAGAGCTATTTTTTCAAGTTTTCAGAAAAATGAGAAGTCGCCACTTTCTTAAATAGAAAGGTAGTATTACACTCAAAAATTAGCAGGTATCACTATACTCAATACTAAGCTTGCTGTGGCAAAAATTTCTTCTACTGTGTGTGGAAAACATTTTCCAAGTTACAACAATGTTCAACATGCGTGCACTCCAACTGCTTGCCCTATTTTCAACTTGTTTAACAGACAATCACTGAGCAAAATAATACTTTAGTTAAAGCTTTTGTAGCCATTAACTGATTTGAAAAGGAGTAAGGGAAAAAAAAAATTAAAAAAAAAAAAATCAGTACTTACAGCAGCCTTAGTCTGAGAAAAAGTAGCCCATGCTGCAGTTAGATCTTACAGGGCAGAAACAAAGAAATAAATTTCTCATTAGTACATGGAAAACAATGAAATAAAATGTTGCTTCAAAACAATTTTCATAGGCTCACTAATCAAGTTCTTTTAATGACTCAATTCCAGCCTGTAAATCTCCTCTGAGAGGCTGCTATCAGTCAAGACTCATCCTAACAGAGCAATAAAATATTTAATGTAAAGTTTAACGAGTTCACTAAGTTAGGTTGAAAGCATTATTACACTTGAAATGAAATCTACCACGTTATAGAAGATGTTTATAAGATAAAATAAAGCTGGTTATCTACCCCAACACAAATATCTTACGTTTTTCCATTACACTATAGTTTAACTACTTTTTTTTCCTTCCATTTTCTTCTTCAGTAAACTAAGCACAGATACATGGTCAACTGAAAGACTCTACTCAAAAACCAAGCTTTGAACGCATGAACTTTGAATAGTAATCTTTTTGAACTGTACACCCTACAAACAAAATAGAAGCAATGTTTGCGAAGAACAAGCAGGAGGCACTAATCAACTTCAGCCTTTTAATCTAAACAGATAGCACATGCTCTATGCGCAATCCAGTTCAGTAGGATGCAGTAGTATTTTCCTCTAAAAATATTTACTTCCTCAGTTCCCCTCTTCTTTTGGTTTCTAATGGTTTTCTTCTAATCTAATGGTTTACACAACGCAACATCCAAAACCTTAATGTGCATCAGAACCATGGAGAGTAGTAGTATTAGAGTTTAAAAAAAAAAAAAAATCTTTTCCTTATAGTAAAAAAGCTGTCAATTTAATTTCAGGTAAGATGCAACAACACAAAGGAAGAGGGTTAAGGAAATAACATAGAAACAGCTTTGCTTTGACTTCAAAAGATGGTGCTTCACGTCTACAGAACACCTCAGTTTCACAAGGTACGTAATTTTAAAAGAAACTGAACATATCGCAGGAAACAATCAGCAATAATGTCCTCTTACAGATAAAATAATAATCTGTCTCTATGTTTAAAAACTTCTGGAGTCCAGTTTTGTCATAGTGGAGATCATAAGACTGATCTTGAACCACAGACTTAACATGCAACTCAGCTGGCTCTACAGACTAGAGCTTTCTTCCTCTCAGGGATGCACTGTAATTTTTTTTTTTTTTTTTTTTGCCCCCTCCTTTCCTAAATTAGAGTAATCATGACAGTAAAAAGCTAACAGGATTTCTCCAGTTCAGGGAGACAAAAGTGCTGCAAGTCATCTTAGTGGTAATGTACTACTGTTATTCAAGGGTCTTTAGCCCTTTACCACTTTGGAACTGAGCAAGAGTCAGGAGCAACTGCCTCTCAGGCACTTCTTTCAAGAGTCCCCAATTTCTGCTCCTCCTCTACAGCATTAAAAAAAAAAAAAAAAAAAATATCTGTGTCTGTGCCATCTTGGCAACCAAATCATAGGCTGGCAATTCCTAATGCAGATCAGCAAATACTCTGCAGATCAGAGGACGAAACTGCTATCTCTGCAGAAAGGAAGCCATATAACACATGGTCTTAGCTTCCAAATTGAGGCAGGAAAATGCTTTCTATAAAAACTCCCCAAAGTTTTGAACAACTCATGATAAAACATCTTCCAAAACAAGGCAATAAAACAGAAAAAATCCATACCTCTGGTAGAATCCTTGTTTTGGTTATGCCTCGGGTTTTGTAGAGGCACCTCATTCGACTTGTTGCTCCACATCATGTCAATTTATCTACAAAAAAAATGCTCACATAAGAATCAAAAAGATATAAAGTAAGAACAAATGTATCTTATGCTAAAGAGAACAACCTTGATCACTATGATGAACGTTCACCTCATACAATGATTTCAAACTCACATCATGAACAAAATCAGAAAATCAGCACCAAATCACAAATGCATTTACAGCTTGCAGTTGTTCAGAAACCACGTAATTCTGTGGATAAAGAAGGGTTTGCTTCTGTTCTTGTTTTATTTGCTACAAAGAAGAGTGAACTTGATAAAAGGAAACCCAGAGGTCATGCAATTTAGATCATAGTAGTAAGTATTCCAGCAAGCCTGAAGATGACCACACTGAAATACTGCGTATGAAGGGGTAACAGAGGCAGCACTACATGGCTTGAACCTATAAAGGTTTGGCGAAAATACCTAATTCCACCAATGACAGATCAATGTGTCAACTATCTCTGTTAAAGGAAAAGGCAGAACAGAACTGTGCAGCAGGACACTACAGCCAGGAAAAAAAGACAAGACTGGAGCTGCCATTGTTTTCCTGTGAACTTCAAAGGCAAGACTCCTAGTGAATCTAAAAAAGCGTGAACCCCTCTGAGTAACAAACCAGGCAGCCACTATCACCAGAGGAGTTTTTAATAAAGGAGAGGGGGCGGGGGGGGGGGGACGGCGCCAATTCAGGAAAGATAATTTTTAAAAGAAAAGGCAGGTAATTTATGCAAATAGTTATTTCTCATTACTTTCATTGCAAAAGATGGGCTGTCATAGGTAGAGCTGTAACAGACTTTAAAGAAGTGCTATATAAGAAAAAAAAGTAAGTTTAAGAGATCTAAGAGGAGCTCATACAGCCAACAAGAACTCTCGATTAGTCAGTACTGCCGCTACCCTCTCACCAAGCACCTCCCATCTGGTGGCACATGCTTACTGAGCTGTCTTCACAACAGACTGAGGACATTTCTGTCATGGAAAGAAAAAATTAGGTGACCAGAGAATTCATACAGGAAGTTCTGGACCTCTGAAAGAGTCATAAATGCACATTTTCCTCTCTCTTCCCTCATACACTCCCAGATAGAATTTTTCTTATTTTCTTAATTTCGGAAAATTTCTTTTGCTTTCACTTCCCTACATAGTGTGCCACATAAAAGGGCATTCAAATATAAAGGTCATTCTTCTGATAAAAAGTGACCGAACATCTGACAAAACTAACACTGTGTACTACTTACTGGAACAGATCATTCCCTGTATATTTTGTGACAAGGATTTTTATTGTGTATGGTTTTAAGGATACCCCCAGTGATCAACAGTGAAGCTTGGTCCTCACATTCAGTCATATAGCTTGTATTTATAGCAGTAAGTTATCCCACAAAACTATTCTTATGCCCCAAGAAAGACTATCAGTAATAAGAACACAGGTCTTCAAAAGACCTTTAGTTCTGCCTTTCTTTAAAGAATCCAAATAAATGTTAGAAAGAGTGTGGAAAAGGTATGTGAGCTTATATATGTAGGTACAGAAACACACACATACACACGCATTAGTGAAGTCTGCAATAATGCAGAAATTCTAGAAAGAAGTGGGGGGTGTTTTATTTTTTTTAACTATCTAGTTATGGGCAGCGAGCCAAGTGAAGTTAGAAAATTCTGCTTCTAGCACAGGTGCTGCAGAGCTCATTCATGCAGAACCACAGCTTTGGGCCTCATGTCATTCATGCTGTAAATCATAACACTGCCCTGCCCTGGAAATCATCTAATCGATCTTCTCCATTACTGGAGCAAAGAGATGTTGCGCTAGAAAAGTAGAAAACAAATATTAATAAAAATGGGGGAATTCTCCATAAGGAACCAATTTTGAGAGCTGCTGGAAATGTCATATCATACCATTATCAGTTTCTTGCCCAAACATAAACATAACAAAACCTACTCAATATGTAAATTTAGCATAAGAGAACTTCTGGACAAGCAACCATTTCTTAAGGGATTAAGTATCCCTCTTCATGTAATTGCTTGGGATTTATTCTTATCATTAGAATTACTAGTATAGATAGGAGAACTTAGTCAGGGACTAGAATTGTTCTCATTATTATATATACACAAATCTATAGAGTTCATTTTATGATGCCCCTGTGAATGTAGTATTGTAATATACTCTATATATTCCCCAACTCTCTACAAAAAGTACCAGATTAATTAAAAAAGTTTGAAATTGCTTGTTATACCTTTCATCCTGACACTCAAGTAAAAGCTGTCAGTCCTTTGCCTGAGCTGAACAGAACACAAGTCAGACAAACAGTGAACACACTTTTGAGAACACCTTAGTTCTACTAATAACTCACAGATGTGTGCTGACGATCACTAATGGTCAATAATTCTGTCTCAATGCCTTGGTTCAAAAGTACATGATGCCCCTCTATAAAAGGCCACTCAACCTCTCCTCCTTTCTGTACAAGCTGGGAAGTAATCACAAAGCATCCCTCTGTATTTCTCCTAATAAATACCTGCAGTGCCAGCCCCAAGTGTACAATATGACTCCTACTAGCTTCAGTGCAGCCAGCTGAGATCCACCAAGCAGTTTTGCTTAACTCAGGTTGCTGCTGTTTGAAAAAAAGACACGTAAGAACTGAGCATTCTGGAGCTGTCTACAGTTTCAGGAAGCCAACACTGCAGTAGCTTTCAGTCGCGATACAATCTTCATAACTATAACTTCGTTTGGGTTTTAGATGCCCCTCTCCCCCTGCTTTGGAAGGGTGGGAGAAATTTATCAGCTTTTCAAAACCTACCTACTAATCACGTTGATTCCCACCAACCTTTGAATTCCTACAGATTAATAGAATAACTTCTTTCTATTGTCACAGTTTACGTGAATAAGCAGCACCCTACACAAAACAAGTAGTTGTATAATTCAATACCCTGCCTCTGCAAGAAGTTAAACCAGACAGAGAAGACACTTTAATGCTATCAAGAGTACACTAGGGGGTTGGGGAGAAAAAAGAAATAAATTAAGACACAGTTGCCATGTCTATTTATAGGATTTGCATGCAGGGTAGTGGACCGGTTAAACACTAAAATACACTGAAATTAATACTGACTAGAAAATACTACTATACTAAAAAATTATGCAGTTTAAATTATATTTGAAAACATATTTTACATCAACACAAAAGTTGTCTCAATGTCACATGAAAAACTTTAAGAAGAAACACACTGTAAAAATTACATTCCGAAATGACTGCTTCAAAAAGATTTTTTTTTTTTAAACTAAATAATCTGTCACTATTTAATACAGAGTTTAAAGGAAGGGGGTACAAAAAGCAGCTTAACAGATGAAATGCCAAAGAACTACTGAGGAGACAGCAGTGATGGCAAAACGTTATCCGCAGGTTGGATAACACTATGAGGATCTTAAAAGTTTATTGAAAAAAGGTGGAAGACTGCAGAATCAGCAGAACTGATCTCCTAGTTATTTGGTTGTTCACTAGTAGATACAGACATCCTACACAGGTTCATTAAAGTTTGGTTTGCCAAGCCTTGTCTTGGGTTAACGATTAAAATACAAATACCATTGTGTTCTGACATTTCAATCCCACATAAAATGCCCATCTCATTCTCTACTCATCTGTCCAAGACAAAAAAAAAAAAAAAAAAAAGTACACAAAAGAAGGCACAGCAGAATTGCTGTAGATAAGGACCTAAGTGTAAAGTACCAAGAAAAGGACATACTCCGAACTCCTGGAAGAAACTGGGGAAAAAGGGGGGGCCCCCCCCCCCCCCCCCCAGACTCTTCCATGAACACTGTTCCTACGGGAAGACACTGAAAAGGACTGACAGATCAGAAAGAGCATGAGATCAGAAAGAGCATGAGAAGGCACCAGAAAGGAGGAAATGGAAACTAAGAGAAAAAACACTGCCAAATAAAAAAGACGAGAAACGAGCACTAAATTTACTCCCAAACATACCAAGGATGGCATTGAAAGGTACAACAGATAACAAAATAACAAGTCAACATGGTAAGGGGACAGCATTTTGAAAGGAGCAGGAGATATGAAAGTAGAATATGCTTAGCAAAGGTACACAAAAATGTCAAGAAATGAAAAACAGAACTGGGAAAAAAGAAATGTGGTGAGAGAAGCAGGATATAAAAAGGAAGAGAATGGAGAAAGACAGGAAGGAGAGAAAAATTGAATGAACTTTTGAAGAATCAGCACAGAGAGCAGCAAAAAGGAAGAAAGTGGCATATTGGTCCAATTGTAAAGCTTTTCAAGCACCCTCAGTGTGATTTTTTTTCTTAGCAGCACAACCTTGATAAGAAAAGGAAAGAGGAAACTCAGAAGCCATGGCACTGAAACAAGGAAACGGGAGAGGAAACTGAATCATACAGACTCAGAGAAGGCAGAGAATGTGAGCAAGAGATCACTTATTTTCACTAACATTTCATGGTTATGCAAAAAAAAAACCAAACCCAACAACCCAGTATGCATACAGAACAGTATTCCTCAACACTTTGTTTCTTATAAAAACACAAGGGATACCAAATGAAAGGGATACCACAAAAGAAAAGATGAAGCTTTGCTAAGAGTAGGGAAAGAAACAAATTTAATATTGACTTCTATGGGATATTCATAAATGTTTAATCCCCAAGTGGCAGGTTTTGCTACAAACTGGGTATACAGTGCATGAGGCCAGCACTTCACACAGTTTAAGCTACAATAAGGCAGCAGTGCCAATAAAAGAAGCCATCTTTTCCTTTCTTTATGCCTTGGTCTCTCTTGCCTTATCCAGGCAGAAAGTCAATGGGATTATGTGGTAAAGCAAAGTGGACTGGGAATCTGGTAAGGTCTGAAAGTAGCTTTTTTGTTCTTTTTGCTTTATTAGTTTTAGCTATGTTGTACCATAAGCTACAACCTCCGTGCAAGCAGAAGGAGAAGGAATGGAAGAATCGGGGAACAGCCGGATGAGTCCCAGTCCTGTACTAGCTGCTGTCATGGTATCATAACCTACAGTCG